AAAGTTTAGCGGACAAACTCCCCTGGCATGTTATCTGTCTATTTGGCCAAGTTCCATCTACCTCTCCCTCTGAAGCCTGTTGGAGGCTAACCGCTGATATCGGCACGCTTTTGATGCTCCAGACAGACGACACGCGCCCGGTGACAGATGTCGTGCGGAGGCGACTCTGGTGACTGTCACCGCGGGATCTGAGGGACCCGTGACGTGACGGGCTGGTTAAATTTGTGTGTATTGCGTTGACGTTAGCCTCTACCAGGCTTCGGGAGGCGGCTGGAAAGAGTTGAAACTTCAAGCCAATTTCAGCCGGCAATTAAATATCCAATGAGTTGGAATTGTACAGTCGAAAATTTGGAAAATCCTTTTGTTGGAAATTACACTTTGAATTTCCTGCCTAATGACGTCTACCAGCACGTACAGATGAACTTTCAATATTAGATACCAAATGAATTAACCAACTAAACAGGCAAATTAACTAACGAACAAATCAACGAACAAACGGGCCAAACTAACCAACCAACCAACCAACCCAGCCCAACCAACCAACAAACCAAGCCAGCCAGCCAACAAACAAACGATTTGAACAAACCAACCAACCAACCAACCAACCAACCAACCAACCAACCGACCAACCACCGACAGCCAGCCATGTATCCTATTTGAAGGAAGGATGTAGGACCTGGGAGCTTTAATGATCTTTAATAGGTCTGGTAACCAGGCTAGGAGACTAGTAGTGCGTCGTAACTCGTGCGTTCCTCGGAGACCGTGTGTATCGGTCCGCGGGGTGTTTGTGTGGCGCCAGGGGCGGAGATGCTTGCGGCGATAGCGGGACCAGGGCGGGACGGCATCGGCCGGCTGATGATAAAATATTCCGCGCCGACAGGCTGTAAAGGGCGGGGAGGCGGGCATGTGGGAAACACGTGTGGGACAAGTGGGCTGGGAAACATGCTGGAGCACATACACACAGATCACACACACACACACACACACACAAACTTACACACACACACACACACACACACACACATACACACACACACCGGCCGTGACACCACAACTCTTGGGCTTTGGAGGTAGCCTGGAAACTGGCAACCAGGTTAGCGTGTCAATGGTGTAGGTCAGAGCCGGAGAAATAATTTTCATTTTAATATAGGAGCCTGTTGGCCCTGCCCCTGGGAACCGCCTGGTCCCCAGTCTACAGTCTTGATCCCTGAGTAACTTTGACTGTTCCCCGGAGCGCAACGCGACAAAAAACAACTTAAAACCTCGGCAAAACACTTTGAGGAACTAAATCCACCTGCTCCCAACCGTCCTGCGTGGATTGTGTCTACCCGCTTGGCCTTTCGAACCTCCAGCCTTTGATGCCGCCATGACACTTGTGACCCGGTTGACCTTGGCCCCGCCCCCACGGTTGCCGTGTTGTCTGACCCCTGACCTCAGCGCGGGAAAAGTTATTGTTTCCTCTGTTGTTCCTGCTGCGCCGTCGGGTTGGATTAGGGAGTCCCGCGGGGAGGGCCGCAAGGCTACTCTCCAAGCAGAGGTTTGGGTTTCCGGCGTGTTTTTGGTGTGTTTTAGGCCAGCTTTTTTTTAATGGGCTTTCTTTTTTTGCAGGTAACATTTGCCAAAATGGTTTTCTCTGTTAATTCTTACTCAAACACATTCATATACAAGGTATATGGTCAGACAGTCTAAATCCCTCCTGCTATAAAATTGCGATACGATATATGGGGGCCCGCAAGCCCTTTTCCGTAGAGCGTAATCGGCCGTTTTAATTCTACGTAGAGCGTAGACGGGCCACTCTTCACATTTTCTGTAGAGCGTATTCGCCGTTTTAATTCTACGTAATGTGTTGTAGCCACTTGGAATTTATCGTGAAGCGTAATCAAGGATTTCCAAATTCAGCGTAGAGCGTTGTCGGGACCCCCCCTTGCAGGCCCTCATATATGTATAACCCAGTACCATGGTGACGGACGGTCTGTTTCAGGTCATTGACCTTTTTGGTTTGGAGAAGAAGAAGAAGAGGAAACGTAGCAAAAACAATATGTTTTCTTTCGGTAAACATAATGATTAAGAGTTGTACATTTCTGACTCACTGTGCCGTTTAGACTAACGTCACTCCTTCATTAGACCGACTCGCCAGACAGACCCACCCTAAATCCTCACAGTCTTAAGTGTTTAAGCTTTGGCTCACAGCGCTTAGACTAACCAAAGAGGTTAAAAACTGTATTTGACCCCCTTGGCCTAACCCGGACTGACTAACGTAAACTGGTAGTAATGCGCGGAGAAAAAAAACCTTGCGGAAATACGGAAACAAGAAAGAAGAAAGTCTTATTTTCGTCTTCAAAAGATCGGTACCCACTATGATCCCAATGTGTTCGTAGCTTCTTACATTGTTGTTGGGCCACAGTTTTGCTGGCCAAAGTACGGAAACACAAACTGACAAACAAACAAACAAACGTTTGGAAAAGCACACTTGAAACAATACTAGTACTTCCTCTCTTTCACGGAGAAAACAATAATATTTAAAAAAACGGCGAAGCAAAATATGCACTTCTTGCGCCTTGATTTTGATATCATAATCTCTGTAGCTGTCCGCTACTGGTGATCTATACACCTGTACAGTAAAATAGAACACCTGAAATTGATTCACCTGTACCTAACAGAAGCTGTAACGCACGCGTTGGTTCGAACGTTTACTTGTTTCGTCTATTTCATTGTATTACTGTTTATCCTGTTATCTGTCTTGCAGTGGTGACTAGTCAGAATTCGTCTGTACAAGTTGAGGTCCGAAGTGCTGGCAGGCCAATATCGCCGTTAGGCCCAGCGGAATCCTGGGTAACGAAGGAGAGGACCAAGGGAAATGGAGACGTCTTTGTTGCGTAGCCTCCGCACCAGGTCTCTGGGAGGGCGGGTTTTATTATTGCCGTGTTTTCTGGACATGGACACTGTTTGTAGTCTGTCAGAGGGCCACTGAAAAGCCTGGCTATGACGGAAAGCCCGGATCGAGGCTATGATGCCCCAGGATGAGTGCAGATTTGAGCCCAGCCTGAGAGAAGCCTGGAGTGTAGGCTATAACGCCCCGGGATGAGTGCAGATTTTCCCGGCGAGTCCCTGACGCCAGAAGAAAAGACACCGGCATTCCTCGGCCCGTCTTGAACACGCGATGTTCTCTGAGAAGCCTGGAGTGTAGACTATCACAGCTTAAACCGCTGAGAAGCCTGGTGTGTAGGCTATGACGCCCCGGGATGAGTGCAGGTTTTCCAGGCGAGTTCCTGACGTCAGAAGAAAAGACGCCGGCATTCCTCGGAACCCCGGGCCGCTGAGAAGCCTGGGTTCAGTGGGTTCTAGGCTATGACGCCCCGGGATGAGTGCAGATTTGGACCCAGCCTGCCCGTTGGGCTGCTGACGCCAGAAGAAAAGACACAGGCATTCCTCGGACCGTCTCTAACACGCGATGGTCCCGGAGCCGATCCCACTTCTGAGGCACCGCTCGGGTCTGGCTTGGGTCTTAGGAACGGGCGCAGCGGGGATTATCTCAGCAGCGACAAGCTATCATGTGGCTATGGACTAGCTCTGTTAAAATTATATTTTAGTATTATGTTTAAAGTTAAAACTTTTGGTCCGACACAAAAAAATTCGACCAGTCACTGTGACTCCTCAAAAAGAAGACGAGGAAGACTTCTTCCTCGAGGAAGACCAGAGTCACAGCGACTGGTCGAAAGCTCTAGGTGAGAGAATTTTTGTGTTGGACCAAAAGTTTTAACTTTAAAGTAAACAAAGTCATGTAACTACCAACACAGATAGTATTATAGTATTAGTTCATGTATCTACTCATGTTGTTTTTTCTTTGCCATACATTGTACCAGTTACAGTTTTTGAGCAATAAAGTTGATTTGATTGGATTTGATTTGATTGTACAGGGAGTACTTGGGCTTGTTCGTTGGTACGTGGGCTATGCAAGGGCTTGATCCTAACTGACAACAGCTCACAGGCGGCCTCTAGCGGCAAATGGAAGAGCTGCATCAGTTATCGCCGTGGAAATAAATTCATGCGGCATTAGGGAAAATGGGCGTTATATGTACCTGTCAAAAGTAGGTTTTCTTCCTTCCATTATGTAAAAATTAACATTTAGTCTAAGGTCTGCCAACTTGGTCAGCGGCTGCCATTGCAAACATCAAATATACGTACAGTTTCTATTTTAACCTCCTGAGTGAGTGAATGCATTTATTTTGGAAACAAAAATTCTGCTCGAGAGGTATTGAACTTGACCATAACCTGTAGCCAGGAGTGTTACAATCCAGGCTATTGTTTACATTAGCGCATGATAGAAAAAAAGCATAAATGAATGAATTTATTTTGGAAACAAAAACGCTCCTCGAGACCTTTAATTCATACTGAACTTGACCATAACGATGCAGGTGATTGCCAAAAAATTTCACGAATTCAGCCCGTCCTAAGTCACCTGTGTAACCATCAGCATCGGTGGTTCAGTGGTAGAATTCTCGCCTGCCACGCGGGAGGCCCGGGTTCGATTCCCGGCCGATGCAAAATTATTTTTTCTTTTCTTTTTTTCGTTTCTTCTTTTCTTTTTTTTTTCATTTTTTTCATTTTCATCGCTCGAAAGAACGAAGTACAATTCATCTGCAGTGTTATAAGGTGTTGCGATTCCCCGCCAATGCAAACTATTTTTTTTCTTCTCTCTCGTTTTTTCCTGTTAATTTTTTTAATTTTTGAAGCCAGGTCGCTAAAAAAAAGCACAATTCATCTGCAACGTTTGAAAAAAAAAAGGTGGGGTGCTGCATTGCATGTCACATGTATATCTCAGAAAACTATATCGTATCAGCACCGAAATCATGCGCTAGCTTTCCTCTAGCGCGACCCCTCGAATCACAGGCTGACAAATCGGCTGCTAGGTTCTGTTCCACAGAAACAAGTCCATCCGGTGGGAAGGGTCACCACACGTGTGCGTGTGTTTGCGTTCGCGTGGCCACGGGTTGGTTCAAAGTCACCCAGACATTTCTAGCCGTCTCCTGGCGTCTTTAACTCTGTAAGAACACTTCAAGAACGCTTCAAGGAGCATGTCGGAGTCGGGAAGGGGCCAGCGGGGTGCTCGACGAGTCCAGACGGGGCAAGGGGACGATGTTCCCCGCCCGCTCCAGCACAACGGCACGGTGTCAGCCGAAGAGCATCTCCCAGTGCCCTTTCTAAAGAAAAAGAGCCGAGAATGGACACAAGAAACGGTTGTGTACGACGACGGGACCATAACTTTCTTCTGGTGAGTTTAGAGTTGATTTAGGTGCTAGAATATTAAGTACTAGCCTTTAATAGGAGGTAAATACTTTGATAGCAATCGCAAGTGACATACATACATGTGAAGGTAAACGTTATTTACCAAAATCTATGAGTATGAATGGAAAATATAAGTTAGCAACAACGTCCATCGTTACGAAAGCAAGTCGGATTATTTTGGCAACAGTTTCTTTGACCTAAGTGCTAGAATATTAAATAGTAGCCTTAGGGGAGGAATACGTAATCGTAAAAACCTAGCTTAGGGACGTCCCTCGGATAGGACGTTAAATGGAGGTCCCGTGTTTGGGGAGAGCCACACCTCGAGCACGCTAAAAAACCCGCCACACTTATCGAAAAGAGTAGGGGATCTTCCCGGTGTGAGTGGATCAAACATTACAGTCTTGTGTACGTCTTCTACGTACCGTGCTTGGAGTCCTCAGCCTATTGAGGTTAAGCACGTAATATGAAGAAGAAGAAGAAGAAGAAGTAAAAAGATACTTTGATAGCAATCGCAAGTGACATTTGAAAGTAAACATTGCATAATTTACCAAAATTTATGAATGGAAAAATAGCAACAAATTCTCCTTTTATACGAAAGCAAATCGGATGATTTTGGCAACAGTTTCTTAAAAGATTTTACAGTACTACTAGTATTTTATTCAGGAATTCGAAGGTGATATTCTCTCACGTTTTTGCTCACGTTTTTGTAAGTATGAAGTGGACATCAGGCGATCGGACTATTTTTGTTTGTCCAGGCGCGTCCTGGTTTTAACCTGTTTGTTTTTGACACGCGGGATTTAAAGCTTTGGTACTTCTGTCAATGAAAGACAGGCACTTCCGGGTTTGTTAAACGTTGCTCATTTTTCCATTGCAAAATGGGATTTTCTTGCAATTATGTTTTGAGGGAGGGGGGCGTGTCACATTCGAACAAGCTCAGTGTGTTGTAAGCTCTCACGTACGGAGGTTCTATAATTTCGTGGTGGCCTACTGGCCTACTTTTATATTAATAGTATCCATATTGCGCCCATTCTTGTATGGCTACTGTACTGTAGTAAAGAATAATGCGACTACGGATTAAAAACACTGTGAACACCCCCTTTCCAGGCTACTACCATAAAATACACGTAGCTATAGTCTCACATACCACTGTATTTTCTTTCTTATGTTGTTTGTAACTGCAATTTGCCCTCGGGCATGTATTTGCAATAAACTTTCATTATTGTAAATCTGCAGCAAAAGTTTCACAATCTACAGTAGCTGACTCACTCTGAGTCAGAATTACATTTACCCAATAAGAGTAACCATTCTTGGTTAGGTACAGTTGGGGCAATGCCCTATAAACATCAGATTAAAATTGAGATATCTAGCAGTTGCACAGTGATTGATCATGGATTGATAGAACAAGATAAAATCAAGAAGAATAAAGCAACACAGAAAAACGCTTTTGTGTCTGACAAACATGAGACAGGTTACTCGTAAGAAAATTCAAACTCTACTACTGGATCAGTTACGGATTTTTATTTCCGAGACAGGTTACTTCAGTAAGTAGAGAAATGCTGCCAGTGACAAAATCACAATGACATTCAAATGAAACATAAGTCCCAATGTTCATTTCAGATATTTGAAAACAGAGTTGCCAACTACTACGATTATGCCTTGTGATTTTGACTATTTGTTTTGGTTGACATGTCCTGTTTCCAATGATTGACTACTTGTACTCTTTGTTCATATTATTTATTATCTCTATGTTTAATTATTTGATTGTCTATGTCCTTTGTAACTTGTTATGTTGGGCTAACTTGGAAATCAGTTGTCCTGAACTGAAACTACTTTTGACAATGGTAAATTTTTGTAGTGTTCGGCTGTCAGCTGGACATTTTAGAACGCCCAGGTATGTTTACCTGACCTACTGTCTGCACATGATGGAAATTTCCACACTACCTAAAACTAACAAAGTTTAAAGTTCTTTGGAAGAGTCCACTAGTCCTGTTTGCAGGGGTGATTATAATTTTAGGGTAGAAAAAAATGAATTTTCGAAGAAGTAGAAACTTGATTTTTCAGCAGAATAAACAATTGCTTGTAATGTACAGGTACAAAGGTTTATTTCCAAGCTAAAAGTAACAAAGTTTAAAGTTCTTTGGAACAGTCCACTAGTCCTGTTTGCAGGGGTGCCTATTTTCATGGTGGAAAAAAAATTGAATTTTCGAAGAAGTAGACTTTTAAGTTTCCAGCAAACAAAACAATTAACGTTACTAGTATTGTACATGCACAAAGATTTATATATACTAGTAGTTTACCTTGTAAGATGTTTGATATCCTAGCTAAAAGTGTTTCTTAAACATTTCTAAAGGTCATGAAGTGTACTGAGGTGTTCATAACAACTTATTTCACATGCAACCAAACAAGAAAACCACACGGGACCAGTAAAATCAGGTCTATGTGGACAGGTGGTCACTATAGACAGGATTCTTTATGTTTGTGTCTGTAGGAAAAATTATACAAGAGTTGGTCAGGTGTTTTTTTTTTATGTAAAGGTGATCACTTGAAATACAGGTTTGACTGTACATGGCTCGAAATACTTTTTTTGAAATTGGTGCACCCAACCTAAGAAATTGGGTGCACAAAAATATTTTAGGTGCATCATAGATCTATAAGATAAAATAAGTGAAATGTCAGCAAAAACTATTATTATGTTTCATTTCTAAAGAAAAGTACCATAACAATGATTTTATTACTTTTATGACACTTAAATGTTAATAACATGCTGTATACTAACTATATATTTAACATCTTGACATATACAGATATATAAACCTACAAAAATATTTGGGTGTACTGGTGCACTCGCAGAAAAAAATTGGATGCACAGCTCCAAATTTTCACCCAGTACTAGTATTTTGAGCCCTGCTGTACATAATTGATTTTGTTTTGCTATCCCCCCCCCCCCAGGCGAGCCCACACACTGACAGTTCTAGCTGCGCTGATCTGTGTCCTTGTTTACGTCACTCTGCTGGAGGAAACACCAAACAACAGCGAGTACAACGCCAAAAGGTAACTAAGGGTCATCTCACACATTTTTTTTCCCAGGCCTCAGTTTTCGATATGTGTAATGAAAATAATTGGATATTGTTCATGTTTTTTCAGAGGCCTTGCGTTTGTGGTGATCGTTTTTCTGGCCTTTGCTGTAACCTACACTCCAGATGGACCATTCAAGAGGCCACATCCAAGTAAGATCATTCAAAATATCCCCCAAAAGTGTAAAAAGATTACGCCTGGGTGCCATCCTATTTGTAAGCTGGGGCTCCCATACTCGAGCGAGTAACTGACCCAGTGAGGCTTGTCACCTGACTTCTTTGAAGTGTGACGTCAACACTGGGTCAACCATGTTTGCTGCTGTTTTCTTGTATTATATTTCCTTATATTGTAGTTACTAGTACTGTAGTCATACAGCACATCTGCAGCTATTATGAAAGTGTAAGAATAACACCTGAAACATGTCTGTACTAGCGTCACCGGTGTGTTTTCTGCTGTTTCAGGTATCTGGAGACTGGTGCTGTGCCTCAGTGTGGTGTACGAACTCGGCCTTATCTTTGTACTGTTTCAGGTGAGTGGAAAAATCACAGGCTGCAACCAATGAGCAACCAGAGATTTGACAAATCACTCAACAAATTTTATAGACACTGTGATTGACTTGACCTATGTTTTCTTTCAATCATACTGTACTTTTGCACCATATTCCCATACGAAAGGTTCACCCAAGTCCAATTTTAGTTGCTCAATAGTCAACCCAGCAAGTCTGGTAGGAATTGAGTTACATGTAATTAAGAATCTTTGAGAATACGAAATTAAGAGACCTGCTTTATCATATATTCGCGACAAATGTTTGTCATCTTTGACTGTTTCACATGTTTTGTATTTCTTAAGACTTGATTTTTCATGTGTTTGTTTGTTTGTCATGACAAACTGTGAATGATATAAAAACCTGTGTTTGTTTGTTTGTTTGATTGTTTATCCTGACAGACGGTGGACGATGCGAGGCAGTTGATGAAGTACCTGGATGAGTCGCTAGGAGAGCCGCTTCCCGAACAGTCGTACGGCGGGAACTGTTTACTCTGGGACCCCGACCATCCACAGGGCCCCCTGCACAACTTCTGGGTACGTGTGTGTGTGTGTGTGTGTGTGTGTGTGTGTGTGTGGTGTGTGTGTGTGTGTGTGTTGTGTGTGTTGACAAACTGGTTTTTACAACTTTTCCTCACAACTACCTAACATGTTTTAACAGATAATGCCACAATTTATTAATGTCAGGTTAAATTCTAAAAATTTTTTTTAGAAATATTTAATTTCCCCTTTTATTTTTCAGGATAAATGTGACATCTTTGTGCCTGCACATTTTATGGGATGGTACGCTAAAGTAAGTAACAGAATTTACTCTGAAATTAAATATAATTCTTTCTTCATCACCAAACATGGCCATCCTCCAGTATAACTACTATCCCAACATTGTAGCTTACTAAAAATTTCCATCTTTAACTTTCAGTTTTAAGGCCTAGGAAAAAAAAATTGTGTTTCCTGTTTCCCGACTGACCCTAGAAAAAACTGCCGACCCTAGACTTTTTTTGGGTGAACTCCTGCAAGGGACATAAATTTTTCAAGCTGATCAACCTTTTAGAGCTCTATCATCTGACACCCGAGTGATGAAACGTTGTACAATTATCGGTTTTCCAAAATTGACATTGAAAATATTTTGTGTCTTCATGAAAGAGAGAAATCACCAAAGTCTTTAAAGAAAAAATCCCTAGGTACCGACCATAATTTTTTCAAGACTAAAACAAGAAACACAACATTTTTTTTTCAAGGCCTTATTGTGTTCAACTGTCATTTCTGATACATGTCATGTCACAATGTAGGCTAGGTGCTACCACTACCGCTTCTGACTCTACGAAAGTAAGACGGAACTGAATTTTTTTTGTTTGACAACATTAGAGCATGTATTACGCATGCCCTTCCCCAAAGTTAAGTCTTACTATAACATTGAACTTCACTCCAGGTAACAGTATGTACCAACTTAAGGTGCATACTTTTCCCTCAACCTTCCTATCCATGTAACATTCCAATCTAGGATTACTTTTCTTAAAATCCAAGAAAAAACAAATTTGATTATTCTAAGCCTTTATATTTCTGGCCTCATAAATTGATCTTCCAGAATGTCCATATTAGTAAGTTAAACGTATTTTCATTTTCAAGGAATTGATCTTGCAGAATGTCCCTATTAGGAATGTATGTTGTTTTCCAGGAATTGATCTCCCAGATTGCCCATATTAGGAACAAATTTTGTTTTTCCAGGAATCGATTTTTCAGAATGTCCATATTAGGAATATATTTTGGTTTCCAGGAAGGAATGGATTTTCCAGAATGCCCATATTAGGAATATATTCTGTTTTCCAGGCCCTGATCCTGAGGAATGTTTGGATAACCAACGTGATCAGTGTCATGTTTGAGTTCCTGGAATACACACTGGAGCACCAGCTACCAAACTTCAACGAGTGCTGGTGGGACCATGTAAGGAGATAGTTCTAGTTTTCGTTGATGTTCTTACGTTTTATAGACAAAGAAGGTCTATGACCTGAACCACATGTCACCGTGGTATGGGATTTAGACTCCTGTCACCATATATGTGAATTTGTTTGAGTAAGAATTAACAGAGCAGACCATATGCGAAGGTAAACATTATGCATTTGCTTTGCAAATGTTACCTTTCTACTAGTTTTTACCGCATGAAGTATTTTTTCTTTACCACATGGGATCTGGAGTGAAAAGTGTTTTTAGCTTGTCGTGTCTAATATGTAGGAGGTATTTTCTGCTATATACATTTTTATTGTCTGTTTCCTTACCAGAGACAGTGCAAAAATGCATGTACAGAACCAGTGAGAAATTCACAACTCAAAGATATTTCATGGATGTCTGCATTTACCCTTGATTTCTTGTTTTTATCTGTTTCACCCTTGATTTCTTGTTTTTATCTGTTTCAGTGGATCATGGATGTGTTGATCTGTAACGGGCTGGGGATCTGGTGTGGCATGAAGACGGTGGAGTATCTCAAGATGAAGGTGAGATTCTTAAGGCACTTAAGGATGCATACTTCAAGACATTGTTTTTGGATGGACTGAAACAGAAAAAAGACGTGGTGCAGGTAAAAATCTTGTGAAGGTACAACTTTTCAGCTACCTGCACCAGTGTAGGCAGGCAAGAAAAATGTACCTCAAGCCTTGCTTCAGTACCTTAAATTCATTTAGTTTTGCAGTCCATAGATTTCACAGCAAGAGTTTTTTGGTTCTTTGAGTTCACAGTTGAAACAACAACAGTATCGCAAGGCAGTCCAACATGTTTTCAATGTGTCATTGGAAAAATAACAGTGCTGTGTCAGTGTTTGAATCAACTTTTCCCCCCAACCCCCAGCCATACCACTGGCGTGGTTTGTGGCACATCCCGACCTACCGAGGAAAGATGAGGCAGATGGTGGCACAGTTCACCCCCTACAACTGGACATCCTTCAAAAGTTACTGGTTCAAATCCCAGCCTAACGTACAAACCTCTGTACACACAGTTTTGAAGAAGCCACACAGGCGAAACCAGTCGTGTGACAGGCTGAATAAAAGTTCTAAACAGGAACTATGCGGCGACTCCAGATGTCTCACTGAGGGACGACTGCGTCTGCAAGATATCAGTTACCTGAGGAATGAATCCCCTTGAATTTACACTAACGTACAAACTTCCTTTTTCCACCACAGCCATACCACTGGCGTGGTTTGTGGCACATCCCGACCTACCGAGGAAAGATGAGGCGAATGGTGGCACAGTTCACCCCCTACAACTGGACATCCTTCGACTGGAAACCCACCCTCAGTCTCAAACGATGGCTGGCTGTCTTAGGCATCATCGCTATGGTAAGAAACAGCCTTTTGTTTGGGTTTGCAAGCTATGTGGACACCTTCCAATACACCTATGTTCTGACTTAGGGTTAGGGCTATTGGAACAACAGGTTAAGTTGTTTTAAGATTGTTGGACCATAGGGGTCTGAACCAAGCTACTGGTTCAAATCTCTAACTTTGAAACTTTGTAAGCTACAATGTACCTGAAAACACTATGAATTCTGAAAAATATGTTGCCTGCCAAGCGTTTGCAAATCTAGAGTTTCAATCACTTAAATATACTAAATTCTTAGCCGGGGTGCCATCCTATTTCTATGTCGGGGCTCCCATACTTGCTCCCTTAGAAAAGCTTTTTTAGGGAACGAGTACGGGAGCCCCGGCATAGAAATAGGATGGCACCCCGGCTACTAAATTCTATCATAATGTTATAAATTCTATCCTAGTACTGTATAATTATTGTTAAGCGGCATATGTGTATCTCCCCTCCCCCCCCCCCCCCACGTGGTTGATAGCAGAGTTGAACACGTTCTACCTCAAGTCCATCCTGTGGATCCCTCCTCCCAACTGGATCAACTGGGCGCGGCTGGCCATGTATGTCCCTGCATCAGCTGTAGCCTTCAGGGAGACATTCCAGTTCCTCGACGACCCGTGAGTTCAACAACTTACATACAGATCCTCAAATTTATGACCTTGAAATGACATTGTAATTGCTTTTGGATGACCCTTGAGTCAATGATGTTGTCATGACCTACAGGTGATGACCTAGCCATTGAGACAATTACCTTGTCATGACATTGTGATGTCTCTGTGATGATTCTGTGGTAAACATTTCTAACCTTGCCATGACCTTCTAGTGACTCTGTAATGACCCTTGAGTCAATGACCTTGAAATGGCTTTGAGATGAACCTCAAATGTGTGACATTGTCATGACCTTGTAATGACTTTGTGATGACCCTTAAGTTTGTGACCTTGTCATGACCTTGTAATGACTATGATTATCCTTGATTCAATGACCTTGAAATGACTTTGTGGTGACCTTTGATTATATGACCTTGTCATGACCTTGAAATGACCCTTGAGTCAATGACCTTGTCGTGACCTTAAAAGATTTTTATATGTAACCAAGGACATTATACAGAGATGTAACTGATACATGTAGGTCTGTGTTGTGTTCCACATTTTGGTGAATCTGTGTTGTTTCCCTGTCAGGACATGTAAGAAGTTTGGTCAGCAGGCCTGGATCCTGGCTGCGATCGTGATCACGGAGCTGCTGATCGTGATGAAGTTTGATCTGAACCTGCTGCTGCTGCCCTTCCCAGAGCACATCTGGCAGTGCTGGGTCGCTGCGTTTGTGGGTATAGCCTCATGGACTGTCTGGAGGTTTTTCATCAGGTAAGGATCTTGTTTCTTCTTCCCGTAAGGCGACCACCTTCAACCTATCGAAGATTAATATTTTTGTCGCCATGTCGGGTATACTGCGCAAGGGAGAGTGGAGTAATGTGTACTGAGGAGGTGGAGGTTACGGGGCTTACAAGTTGGACTTAAAGCCCTCAAGATTGGTGCAGAGGGCAGTGTCAGCAGGCAAGTTAATGTTGGTAGGATAGCCTGGTATTCAGGATAGCCTGGTATTCAGCCCAGTTAGGCTGCCGTTCCCAGAGCACATCTGGCAGTGTTGGGTCGCTGCATTCGTGGGCATCGCCTCGTGGACGGTCTGGAGGTTCTTTATCAGGTAAGGCTTACCTAGCCTTGTATTCAGCATTGCCTTTGTCAGCATTACATTTTGTACTATCTTCTTAATCAGGTTCTTAATCAGGTGAGGAGTGACTTAAAGTAACTTAATAGACTTTTAGAGGTTTGACTTCTTAGACAATAGCAGGAGGATATCCAAGTGTGGGCTGTCTGGACAGAGCTCACTGGAAATGTGGCGTGAAGACTTAGCCAATTGCTGCCATTCTTGTTCCCACAAAATATACATACAAAGGCGTACAGGGTACAGTTACAAGAGATGTATGACTAGTTAAACATGCAGGCATGGTGCTGTCTTCCAGCTGGTGCATATTCAGAACAGTTCACTTACTTGAAACATGTCGGCAGAACCTACTGCACCTGCGCGAAACCCGTAATGAATTGTGCATAGCACTTTGGCATAATGTCTCATAAAAGGTTGTATTCTTGCAAATAAGGTTAACGCTTTGTCTGTAGTTCCATATCTTATGTTGGAACATATATCGTCTGCAACAGGAAAAATTCTCATGCAATAGTGACCAAAAATCCAACAAAAACTGCGGAAAAAAGGTGGTTTCACACAGTATACGTTCTGCCGACATGCTCTCACTTAATACTCACTGTCACTGTTAGGGACACTGTCACTACTGTATAGATAGGGTGTAAGTCTAACAATAATGACATGCGTCAAGTCCAACGATATATGGTGCAATGCTTAGCCTCCGTAGCAGGCTTATAGAACTGGGGGTTTGGTGGTCTTCGTCTGTTTTCTGATTAGCCCAGTTAAAAAAAAAACGGGGGTAATTCAACCAGGCCGGCTATGTTGTCTATATGCAATAAGAAAATGGCACATAAAAGCTTCAAAAGACCCTGAAGACCCCC